AAGATCAAAACATAGACCCCCCCCCCCTCACTCAGATCCCCGTCCACAGCCTTACCGGTGCGCCATCGGAGATCCGGCTGCCGGCGTACACTGTGCCAAATCCTCCGCTGCCCAGCACCGAGCCCACTTGGTAAACCTTCTCGAAAGACTCCTTTTCCGCTTTAACTGCAAGCAAAAACACAAGTGAAAATTATCTTTAAAAAAAAAGGTTATTTCCATAACAAAACCACCGCTTAGTTTGATATGTTAGCTATCGTTTACTATCAAGCCGGTCGGCTGCAGCAGCGGTAGCTTACTCGAAATAAAATGCAAAATGTTACGTTTGTTAAGCCCCGCTATCATATCTTGTATAAATGTGTCAAGGTGTTGCTTAACCTACCCGGCTGAAGCTGTATTTTCACTGGTAGATGGTCCATACTTGGAGGGGTGCAAATATGCGAAAATGAACCGAACTTTGACAGCAACATATTCGAGCTGAAAAGCCGGCGCAGACGAATCCCTTTTCACTCGTCGAGAGTCAGAAGAGCCGGTGTGTAAGTCAGGGGAGAGAAGTGGTTGTTGAAGCGCAGTGTGAATGCTGCTGCAAGACCGTCTTGGCTTCAAGCGAATAATATATCCAGTCCAGCAGTGCGCCAACTCCGCCGCACCGCGCCCGTCAAAGTCGTGTCACGACCGTGAAGTCGTACACCCTTTTCCCGAAAACCGGCATTAAATCTGACTTGTGTGTCTCGACTCAAGCACAACAGACGAAAAACAGTCCTCTTAATTGATAAAGAAAAACAACCAAAACACAACAACGCGAACACTCCGACGTGTATAGTAAGCCGTAGCGACAGTAGAGTGCGTTTAAATGCCCTCCGCAGTGTGTTGATATCCTGAAGAGTGGCCGCTGTCTGAGCTTTGGCGCGGTCTTCCCAAGCCAATATTTTGACGCGCAGTGTGATGGTGGTATCCCTCCGCCACCAATACAAGTCGACACGTTCGCTTAATTTCAAGGTAATTCCGTCATTTTTTTACTACACACACACTGTCGTTAACCCCCCGGCTACGTGTTGTAATTGTACCACACTTTCGTCCGAGAGTATTATCGAAATAACCCCTTTTCACCGCGCACTACTTTCTCATAGTACGAGACGCACAAGAATCCCCTTGTCTGGAAGCTTTGAGCTGTGTTCACTATGGACTCGGAGGCGGCGACCAATTAGATGTCGTATATAAATACTGTGTATCGTATCTGGACCAATCCAGAAAAAGTTATTATAATAAAGCAGGCATTTGAGTGCACGTGGCGGCAATTCTGAGAGCCCTCCCTTTTCCTCCGCAGTTCTGCAGTGAGAGACGGACACAGAGTTTATGGCTGGAATGAAGTTTAAGTTTATAGTGCAACTCACCACAAACTACTGATTACCTCTTTCAAGTTGTTGTTAGTTATAAAGCGTGCACCGAAACTCACTTGTGTTGTTTGTTTACTTTTTGAGTATGATGCCCTCCAGAATTTCATAAAACTTAAATATGAGCAGTTTGACTGTTATTATTCTCCTACAATAATTATTTAAAGGTTCAAAATATAGAGTGTGCATACAACAGACATGCCAGTTAATTATATATTTGTGTTTAACCTTTATTTTCACCAGGAAGTCGCATTAAAGATTAGATTAGGATTAGATTAAGATTAAAAATGTCTTAATAACAATGAGTTACAGATAAGAGACGCATGGAAAATGACACAAAGTACACCAGAATTAAAAGATAAACGTATTAGTTTATAAATAATAATAATAATAATAATAATAACAAAATGTATTATACAAATTTTTAATTTTGAACATAAAATAGCTAAATAAGACCAAGAGATTCTAAAACAGCCCCAAACATCAGCACCCAGAACAGGGGATGCACTGCATGTTGCTGCATGTGTATTAGACCTAACATTTAATGGTGACTGTCCAAGGATGACACTGCAATAGACTGCATTACAGTATTTGAAGGATGATACATAATAATGACACACGAGAACACTATGTGTTGACACGAGTATGAAAACATAATAGCACCGTATCACGATAACAAGAATAGCAAAACAATCAGATGGCCAAGGTTTGTGGAGCCAGCTGTCCACATTTCAGGAGATAAACTTTCCAGTTTTACTGTTACACATCTGACCTTGGCTCTCGATGAACTTTCCACTTTTTATCTTCCACTGCCTCTGATAACCTGTCCGTGTATGTATGTGTATGTGTGACCACTAACCAAACAGAACCATCAGAGAGTTCCAGGGAACCTTATCTTGCTATAGGCCTGCCGACTGCAAAGTTATGTAAATGTAGACACACACAAGCATAGGCTGCATGTGAGAGCAGAGTAACAGCCTGGGGGCTAACCTGCAGTGATGCTCTGTATTCATCGTATGATAATTTACACTGCTTCATGTTTGCTGCCAAGACATTTGTGCATGGCTTTATGCCATATATATATATATGACACAATGTATATGTGTATATATATGAAGTAAGAATGCTTTGCGTTCCCTTAAAGAGAATGTATCAAGAGGACACATAAATGTATGGTATTTGCATTTGCATTTTAAGAAGTACATTACTATGTACATGCATATTGTGCTGGGGCATGTGGAAGAACCTCAAGGGTTGATTTGCTTTTATCTTTTAAAATATTTGCATGAATGACAAAGAGTTCAATGGTTTATTGAATTATGCTTCAAAGAAAATGTGGTAGCAGCAGTCTATTCCCTGCAGAAAAACCTTCCACCTCTCCTGCATGTTTGTTCTGTGGTCATGGTTTTATTTTCCTTCAGTGGCTCTGACCCATATAGTCGTTATTAGTAATTGCTTAATAATACTGCAGATCTTTGAAGTAAAGCTTTTTTTTTAATGCTCCTTTGCTCCAAAGTTCCTTCAAAGGCCTAATCTCCTGCACCTTTCCACGCGAAGCTATATCCCGTATATCCGTGCATTTCCTCCCACGCAAACAGGACAGCTCAGGTGAAATACTAAATTGCTTGCAGTTACATGCTAGAATCAGTTTTTTTATGTCTAAAGCTCTTACCCAAAAACGAGTCTCTTCTCATTTGCACTTCTGTATGGAGTGTCACCTCGCATGAAATCACACTCCCAGCTGAGGAGGGCAGTGTGTATTGCAGAGAAAGGTTAAAAAAAACGGTATGTACTTTCCCGTCTCCACTGCGAGCATATGCAACAGGTGCATCTAACTAATATTTGGGAGAACCCTCAGTATGGTATGTGCTACGTGCAAGTGTGCGAATGGAGGTGGAGCGGCTGAGGTGAAGGTATAGTGGCTGGAATGATATTGAGTGTCAACCCCTTGATGGATTGGTGTCCTGTCCAGAGTGTTTACTGCCTTTCATCCTCTGCATGCTGTGGGAACAGGCTCCAGCAATCACATGATCCTGGATGTAAAAAAAGATACATATGGATGGATAAAAATAATCATCACTCCTCTTCTCCTCCTCTCCTCTCGCGGTATTACTGCTACTATTGGGACAAAATAGCGCCGGATGACATTAAATAATGAATTTAATCCCAATCCTATCATCCAAAGTATTTGAGTGTATTACGTGTAAGTAAGTCTAGGTTTCTAGCAGACTTTGCCCTGAACACGGACCAGTAAAGCTATGAAGAAATCATGATTGTAATAATTTTCCCTCTCTCTTGCTGGTGTGAACCAGTTGAGCAGTAAGTGAGGCAGTCAGGCAGTTGGCCAACCAGGCGTGCTGACAGCAGAAGCACAGACAGCTGTTTTGCCGTGGCTTCATATGAACGCGTGCTATGCAGTTGTTCACAGCTCTCATGGGAAATTATCATCAGGGCTTTTTATTTATGTTCACCAATGCTTTGATCCGTGGATGTAGAGGAAACGGCGAAGGGAGGGAGTGTAGAGAGCAAAAGAAAAATGGCTTTTGGCCCACTGATGAGCTGTCACTGTCCACCCTCCTCTTTTCTCTCCTCTGTTTCTTCATTTTTTTTTGCCCTGTCTCTCTTTTTCTCCGCGTGCCTGGGATGCCTCCCATTTTCCTTTGCTCTAATTACTGCCTTAGTAAACTGTGTCAGCGAGCCGAAATAGTTTTGATGAGGGGTCCGGCTGCGTTTGCATCTGTAATTTGATGGGTTTCATTGGGGACACATAAAACCAGACACACCAGAGGGTACGTGGCCACATCACAGCCTCGGGGTCGGCAGAGGTTATTTTTAGCCCCATCACGCTAGTCCGGTGGCAGCCACATCATTTTGGTAAGCCGCCGATTGAAATCGATCCAGCTTGGTTGAGCTGGTGCTCTCTGCCAGGGAAATCTGAGGGCCCGAATTTGTCATGAATCGTGCTCGGGTTAGATTCCCCAACATGTGTGCAGGATTTACATGTGTTGTGTACATGTGTTCTCATATGTTCCCTGCAGATATGTTTACTGTAGCAGTATCCCCATGTAAGGGTGCGCTGCCTTGAAGACTACCATCTAAAAGACGCATACGATAAAAGATGTTGTAGATTACTAAGTGAGCAAATACTTAAGGTCAGATCAGCTTTTAAAACTTTGGTGCAAGCAAGCAATTGTTGCAATCAGTAGATTTTCTCATGGGGATGACGTAAATTCACACAAACTGATGTCTGAATTTACACCATTACTCAATAGCTAGCTGTCTAGACTGTGCTAACCTTTGAGGGAACAGCGTGCGGGAGATTCCAAAATGGAGGAAGCAATCGTAGATTATTAGCATTGTCTTCTTTCGTTTAACCCTCCATGTGTAAGAGTAAACTTCTCCACAAAACAGGAATAGTTATGAGACAGCTCATTGTTCAAATAGCTATGTCTTTTGATTTAAAACATGTGAACGGAATGTGCTGTTAGCAACCGAGCTAACAAGCTTGGTGAGCCTTTTGTTCCCTCTTCAAACTAAATCTTTTTTGAATGAAACCCCAAGAAGAAAATGCCACGGGGAGTAAAAGGCACAGTAAAGAGAAAAAAGACAGCAGTTAGCTTGTGACTGTAGTAGCTCTGCGTGTAGTCACTACATATGGATTAATTTCTCTACGCCACTTTCTGGTGTGACCAGGTCTTGATAAATTAATCACCAGCAGTAAAACAGTAAAACACACTGAGAATATGTGTTTTAATTTTTTTTTTCAATACTCCTTTAAGAGACAGCGCTCCAGTCACCAGTCACTAAGGCTACTAGTCATGTGTGCTGCATGCCAGCCAGGTCGCTATATAGATTACTGTCTGGACTCAGCATTATGTAACACTGTCAGGTCCTTAGTGAGCCTCGTAATCTGGCAGCCGCATTGCATAACTGTTCATTAGCTCTTTCTACACATTCCCTCACACCTTCATTTTCACATTTCTTTTTATATAGATGTAAATATATATATATGTGTGTATGTTTTTCCTGATAATTTACACAGGATATGCTGCTTCCACAGATGATGAATATTTACCATAGAAGTACTCCACTGTTAACACAGAGAGTGTTAGTCCGGGGTCACGCTTGTGTTCATGTGTGGGCGTGTGTGTGTATTTGTGCGTACAATTAGCCAGCAGGAAGTCAAAGGAAGACAAAGTGTGGCGTGAAACATGGTTGCATTAGATGACACATTTGCAGTTGTGAAATGTTTGTTTCTAGTAATTTTAGCATCTCTGATCACTTTCTGGACACTAGTTCAAGTGACCCACTATAAGGGTTTTCTAAATCTATATTTAAATTGGAGAAAGAGATCAAACATGACCTGCTGTTAAGCTATTCTTCCTAATGTGACATAGACTGCATACTGTATGTGTCAGCTCATTGATGCCCTCAGTGAAACTATGACTGCCAATGAAGCCCTAGACTTCAGATTCCAGCACACACTCATACACACACTGCACACAGGAAACCAAGTACACAC